CTTCTTGTGCAAAAGTGCACATCTGCAAGAAAAATTACGATAATTATATCACATGAAGGCATGCCATAAAACGCTATTTACCAACTCCTTACAACTGCAATGACGTTACAACCGTAATGAAGCTCTCCCGCCCAATAATGAAGCTCATGTATTTTTCTTGTGCTCTGTAACTTCCTCTTGATAAATAACGGAAGCGTACAGCTACCGTATGTGCATGTTCTTGAAACTTCAATTTGCCACCTAAACCAGATCACCAAACGACTGGAGTGCTCTTAACATAAGAAACAAATATTTTCTAATATTCTTTCTGACTTTGTGGAACGCCTACATTCGTATTTATTACTGAAGAAAGATAACTGTTGTGAAGCCCATCGACAGGTTGTGGCAGTTTTAGACTTTTTCCGATATAAGTATAATGTGATAGCGGGTTAATAAACAGTTTAATAATATTACTAGTTTTAGAAATGATACAGTGATCTAATTGTCTAAAAATCGGGTACGAAACACCAAAAAATCTTAGCGGACTGCATTGACGCGGCAATTGAAAACAGCGTTTGAATCGGCATCCTGCCGTATTGAAAGGAACGATTTCCATCACATAAAATTGGCCAGACTATTGACTGCTTTGGGTTATTCGCCGAACCTGTGGATGTCCGCCTGAATACTCAGTTGTCGATTTGAGGTAATGAGATGTTTCCGATACTATTTAAAAGTTTTCTTAATGTTGCTACAATATAACCGTGCAGAGAAGAACAAATTGAGTTATACACGTATCTGACATTCTCGTTTTAGTAGAACATTGCTCCTGTAAAGAATGCTACCTAATCTGTTGCGAGAATTGCGTATCATATGAACAACGAAGCTAATCATAAACGCTTATCTGTTTGCTTAAATTCTTTACCTATGGAATCTTTACGATCAGTAAATTTCAGTAGCCTATTTTATTAGTTATGATTTTTGTTAAAGATTAAGTCGAATCTGCTGAATTGTTCTTGAATGAAATGTTCCGGCGTAATTTTGTGCCGATTCGCGAATAGATCAATATTCTCTTCCTGGAAAGAAGAGATGTCAAGCCGTAGGTTTAATTTGCAGTGATATAGATTTGATTAACGGTGCTACGTTACATAGCACGGTGGATTAAATAACGTCCAATATGGACTCAACTTTTCATATATCGCGGTTTTCAATATTTTTTCTGTACACTGAAGCGCAGAAAAAATGAAAGCCCACAAACTGATATATTTGAAGCCAAATTAATTGTTTTAAATGATCTGAGACATCAAAATAATTCATTTACCTAATATTTCGTCCGTATTGCCCAGTTATTGTCTGTCAGTATTACATTTTCAGTCTTAATACTCGTGATTGAAAAACGGTTTCATTGTTCAGCGATTCCAAATCGTCTGATACGTTTTCTCTCTCATAAGACGTTTCACAGTCGCTGAGAGAGCTCGCTGGCTAAACACTCCAACCGTTGCGATGTTGTACTTTTGAAGTCTGTCAAATAATCTTTGCCATGAAGGCTAGTAGCGAACTAGCCAAAATGTCAATACTGGATAATCGTTGGTTAAACCACGGTTACCCTGTTTACGTTCTGCATAAATAAAGTTTTATACTCCTTTCATCTCGTAGCTTAGAGTTATCACAGATTTAACAGCAAACTGAATTTTATTCGTCTTTAGTGGTTATGAACTACGAATGACACATGACTAATTTACACAGTTCATTCTAGTATGCTAGTTTACTGTACAAAAGATATAGGAAAGCAGTTCATATCGTACATAGCACCTTCCATGAATAAATCGCTTACGACAGGCAATACCTGTCGTCCAAAATCTAACAGACATAGAAAAGGCATTCTGATTATTGTTACGACATAGGACTAAATAGAATGGCAACTAGTCTGCAAATGCAATACTTTTCCTACAAAGCAAGTTCAATCGCGACAACAGAGTTATACATCACTAAACAGAAAAATCAGAAAACTTTATTCACCAAAAGTTTAGACTGCAGTGTACAAAAAAAACATTTGTACTTTAGGCCTACTAACATCAAAAAGCAGCTACCTGAAATTTGTCTGCCATCGTAAATGCAAACTGAAACATCTACAGATCTATCTAATATACAAGGGATAAATTTCGCTGCGCAACACTTGAAGTGTCTATGAATTCATTTCAAACACAGTTAACACAGAAATTAAGTTGCATGGAATGAAGACTATAAGACACAGTTCTATCCATCATACTGATTATAACCTTCCGGCTCATGCGGAAGCGGCCACCTTCTCACATAAAAAGTGTGGTTAAGGCTATACTGCAGCAAATTAGTGACGTTAGACATATAAATATCTGCTAAACGCATTAACCTTCGAGAAAAATATGTTGGATTATGGTAGGTTCGAAAAATAGATCCAAACTGTGGGTTGAATAACACTTTGACGTATTCCCTAATGTCGTATCGTTCCAACCGCCACTGTTTTAAAACCGACTTTACTTCTGGGTTCGAGACCACCATGTCTTGGTACTTGTCAATCAGAGATGTCAAGCTTCCCAGCCATGCAATTTTGCCACGGTACTCCTGAGTGTTTTGTGTTTTGATTTCTTTTGTCAATTCTGGAACGATTGCGCCAGTTCTCCAGCCATATTTCAATGTTGGCTCCTGAAACGGTTTAAAATTAGTAGTTCTTTCACAATGCCTTCACTCAAAGTCTCGTCAGTTAATCTTCGCCTTAATGAATTACTCAGGAGGTATAGGGTTCGAATCCAGAGAAAGAATGATCGTTATCTTAATAGTTAATTCCAGTGATCAAGGAATTTACCCCAATTTGCTTCGGTACAACCAGCCGAGATAGGGTATCAAGTTGTTAACTTGCGAACAAGTTGCTGTTCTGGCGTGGCAATACGAAATTGAGCATAGCGTAATGTCACACTGTCCGATGTGAGCGTCCTTAGTGACTGCAGTTCGCATTTACCAACTTACTGACAATCATGATAACCAGCACGTGCAATCCAAAAAACTCCCAACCAGAGATACAATATATAGATTAGTTATCTGCTTCAACAAAAAAATATATACATATATATTATAATCCGTCTCTTGTACTACGAAGACGGACCGAGCTTGATCCGAAACGTCAGATGTTTCAAATTAAATAACATTTTGCGTTT